GACTACCAGTAAACTTTTGCACTTGTGACCAAGATGAACACCAAAAGAATCATTCTTTCACTAGCTGCTAATTATAACTGGTATATTGAACAGCTGGATGTCAAAAAGGCATCCCTACACGGGGACTGGGAGGCAAAAATATTTATAGAGATTCCACCAGGATTCAAGGAGAAATCTAAGGGGGGCAAAGTGTATAGGTTAGAAAAGGTTCTGCCTGGGCTAAAGAATCACCTAGAGCTTGATTTGGAAGATTCTCAAAAGTCATGCTACTTAATAGTTATCGATAGAGCCAAGGGGACCATATATTATTCATCAAGCTCTCAGACTCGGGAGAAAAGGAATTTGAGATCAAAGATCTTGATAAATTAAAATATTTCCTTGAAATTGAAGTGGCCCACTCTAGGAAAGAAATTTTAATTTCACAACAAAAATATATTAATGATCTTCTTAAAGAAGAAGGTATGCTAACTTGTAAACCAGCACCAACACCATTAAAGCCAAATCTCAAATTATGAGAAGGTAAAGAAAATTCAAATATAGATAAGGGAGCTTACCAAAGACTTATGAGAAAATTGATCTACCTTTCTCACACCATACCAAATATAGCGTTAGTTGTAAGCATGGTCATCCAATTCATGCAAAATCCAAAGCAGACTCACATACAAGTTGTAGACAGAATACTGCACTACCTTAAAGAGAACCCAAATAAAGAGATTCTCTTTAGAAAAGAATGTGGAATAACCCTAGAAGCATATACTTACGCATATTATGTAGGATATCTAGTAGATAGATGATCTACCTAAGAATAATGCATATTCCTTGGAGGAAATCTTGTTATATGGTGAAGCAAGAAATAGAATGTGGTGGCAAGGTTTAGTGCAGTAGCAGAATACAATGCTATGGCCTTAGGAATATGTGAGCTGCTATGAATCAAGATGATTCTAGAAGACCTAAAGATCACGTGGGAAGGACCCATGAAGCTACACTGTGACAACAAATCAGTAATCAGCATAGCTCACAATCCGGTTCAACATGACAGGACCAAGCACATAGAAGTGGACATACATTTCATAAAGGAGAAATTAGACAGTGGTCTTATATGTATCTGCTATGTCTCATCAAAAGATCAGCTTGCAGATATTCATACCAAAGAACCCGATAACTCTACCTTTCTAAGATTGATTATCAAGCTGGGAATGACAGATCTATATTTCTCAGTTTGAGGGGGGAGTGTTAAAATCCTAGATGTCCCTTCGCATTTTGATCCCACGGCTAGGTGATGTAGACAAAAGGGTGGTCAACTCATGTCTAAAATAAATCAATTTTGGCTTCCCTTGAGACTACAAGCTCAATAAATTTTGAGCTGGAATTTAGCTCATTTATGAGCTGGTTTTTAGTTCATTTATTGAACTAAAGGTTAGCTCATTATTAGCTAGGTTTTAGTTCATTTATTATCTTATTTATATAGCTTTATCTTTTAAATTTTTGTGCTTGGCCTCTTGGGTTCCAGTGCCTTGGCTCCTTGGTTCCCACGGCTGCCTCCTTGGTTCCCACGGCTGCCTCTTCGATTTCCGGTGTTGGGTGGCCTTTCCCGTGTCTTGATGCCTCGATTCCATGCGAGCCTCCTTGGTTCTTGCGGCTGCTTCTTCGGTTCCCGTTACATCACTAGGATAAGGATCTATGGGAGGCTCACCTAGATCACCCTGATCACCTTCCACATTTGGGTGGTTGATTTAGGAAGGATTATATTAGAAAAATTATGTATGACTTTGGAGTTATTTGTTTGTTTATTAAGATATCCTTTATAGATCTATAAATATGGATAGTTTTGTGTAATAATATTAAACATTTTTCATCTTCAAATATCTGAATTTCACAAATATTATAACTAGAATTCAAGTTGGATGGTTGGGGTGAAGGAATGCATCGGGACCTAATGTGGGGTAGAAAGGTATCCCTCAAAATTAAGAGAAATTTTTATAAGGTGGTGATACGTACAATGTTTTATGGCACATAATATTGTCTATTAAAAGATAAGCAAAAAATAAACTTATGTGTTACAGATATGAGGATGCTCAAGTGAATGAGTGGTTTTACACTTAGAGACAAAAGAGACAAAATGTGAAAAGATTGAAGTAGCTCCAGTAGCAAATAAGATTAGAAAGTTGATGGTCTGATTACATAAAAATGTTGGTTTTTCGTAGGAAAGTAGATTAAATCTAGTATATGTTAAGAAAAGTAGAGGTAGACCTAAAAATACTTGGTCATAAAGTATTAGAAATTACCATTTTTATTAGATTTTTTTATTAAATTTAAATGAGAATTTGACTCTTAATATGAAAGAATAAAGAAAAGGATTTATGTAGCCGACCCCACATAATGAGATCAAGCTTGCTTTTGTCATTGTTGTAGAGATCAAAATAGACTTGAGAAAGAAACCAAACTTTCCCCAAGCATTAGCACTTATGTTGCATAAAGACTTAGTATATTACCAGCAAAATGATAGAAAAAATAATACTAACAGCCTTTATAATGATACGACATATGACCCCAACTACAATGCTTGAAAAGTTATTTCGAGAAGCCCTAATCATAAACATAAAAAACACTATCATTCCATGAAAAGATGAAGAAGCATAAAATTGTACGGGTGACAAATTGAGAAATATCTAGTCATAAATGATTCCAATGTCATAGCTTATGAAGGCTTTTGATATTTTACTTGAAAGAATTTACATGCATAGATTTTGTATCATATGTGCTTCTATTTCTATGTCAGCATTAAGCTAAGATTTTAAAAATGAAAAAACACGACCAATTTGAACAATTGGAATATGAATTGGACTTCACACCATTTTTTACGCGCTATTTCTTCAAATATCATCAACTTCAATTATGCATGATTTATCTACTTTGCATCATCATCATCATCCCTAATATTATGATTTCTCTACACAGTTGACCAATATATCTGCTCTGCATTGTCTTCGATTTCAATTCCAATAGTGCGTTCGCACTTATAGCATTACTGACAACCTCTCCCACTATTCCAAATAGTACCTTCGAGTACCGAGCTGCAACGCTCACAAGGGACATTACTTTTGGGTTTTCTCTCATAATTCCATGTATTCCACGATTCTACAAACTTCACAACTTGACACTAATTTCATGATCCATGAGAGCTTTACTGCAGTCGTGGCCTTATCTCCTTGCAGCCTTCGTAATTGCATGCACCTGCTCTAACCATAGCCTTCATCATGGCTATCAAGTAGTCATCTACTGCGAGAGTTTCTTTGTTCCCAGTTGAATCCTACCAATCATCTTGAAGTAGGCGGATACTCAAAAAAATTCAAAGGCAAGCCCAAATGACGAAGAATTAATAAATAATAGATTGAAAGACAAAAAATTATTAAAAATGATTAGAAAAGCATAAACACAAAGTTGCTTGCTCCTGGAAACTCATCAGTCCCTACTTGTAGACTAACAGCCGGAGATGCTATATCCGACTCCTGGATCATTGATCAGGAGCCAATGATCACATGACATATTTCTCATTGAACTTTAATGGCCGCACACTTTGCCCGAATAATAAGAAAATCTCTTTTGTCGATGACTATCCTACAACAATTGTAAAACTAGTAGAAATCCAAATCAGTCCTTAGTTTCTTTTAGATAATGTTCTAAATGTTCTTGAGCTTTATAGAAACATTGTGCACATTAAAAACTCACTCATAATATGAATTGCGGAATAACATTTTTTCACGTTTGTTATGTATTTTGGGATCAAGAGATGATGAAAATAATTGGTCTACTAAGGAAAAGGATGGCCTTTACATTTTTGGAACATTAAGTCAAAAAGTGTCAAGATCAATCTACATTTATCTTTCATTTCCTCGCATCAACAACTTGGTCTCCCTTTATTTAGAATTTTTACAGTCGTATTTCCTTCTCTCAAGGAGTTCATGTTAAAGCTTTTCATTATGATGTTTGTGAACCTGCAAAGCACAGACATGCCTTTTCCAGCAACTAATGAAAGAAGTTATATTCTCCTTTACTTGATTCATTGTGACATATGTTGTCCCTCGATAAGTCACTACAATTTCCTGAAGTTTCGTGCCTAGATCAAAATGTGATATAAGTATTGTCCTTGCTACTTTTCATAATATGATTTAGAAGCAATTTGGGGTGAAAATTAAAAAATGAAATTAGAAAGAAACAATTTAGGGTGAAGATTAAAAAATAAAATCAGAAAGAAACAATTTGGGGTGAAATTTAAAAAATGACATTAAAAAAAACACTAGGGAGTGTAACACAACCCCATTATATTCTCTATTTCACTGCGTCAATTGAAAAGTTCTCATTATCCAACAAACATTTCCTAGTTAATTTAAATACCACTTCAATCATTAAAACATTATTCAAGTCATTGTTCACCAAAGAATGGAGGAAAGTCATGTAAATGTATATGAAAGCCTTTGAAAAGAATAAAATAGATCACGAGGATGCCTAAAGGAAAGAAATTAATAGGGCACAAATGGATGTTCATAGTGAAATATAAAGCTGATAAAACCTTAGAAGGTTTAAAACAAATTAGTAGCTAAGGGCTACACTCAAATCTATCGAGTAGAATAACCAGAGAATCTTTAATTGTAAAGATGAATATAATAAGAGTCCTCTTGCCACCAACTATCCACTTTCACTGGTATTTGCAACTATTTGACATTCAAATGCATTCCTAAATCCCTCTTAACATGCAAAGCACAGTTAAGAGGTTGATATAACATTTTTTTTTTTTCAACACAAGCTAAAATATCAGCAGAATCAATGTGGGTTAAATAACAATCTTATTCAACAAATAGATTTTTTATCCTTTCCAGAGTGTAGGAGGTAAATCAACGGTACAATAAGTACTAACGAAACTGCAATTATTGATATTTTAATAAGTGCATTAGATGAAATGTAAAGTAAATAAAATAAGAGCAAAAATAGCAATTCTTCACCTGGGCAAGTTCATGGCGGCTGGATATAAGCTTATCAATTACACAAAGATTGGCACGAGGCACGGAGTTTCCTATTATGTAAGTTTGCTTCCTTACCTGAGAAAAAATCCAGAATATACATTAAAAACAACCTCAACCATAATCCATAAGTCGGTACAAAAAAACAAAATGTACTTAAATATTTTAAGTAAATGATAAGGGCTCGATGAAATTATATCCGATCCTGATTTTGCTTTGATTCATATTGGACCTAAATAGTTTGATCATGTTAAACCTAACCATAAATTGTGAATATCAAATTAGTGCAGACTAAATTAATGAGATGGAGCAAAATATATAATAAGGAATCTACATCAAATTTAACTGAATTTTAATTGCCTTTCTTAGCTCATGTAAGCCAAAAAAGGAAGTTTAATTTAACTAAGTTTAATACATCCTACTAGAGACTTGATATGATCGATCAAAATGGCATTTAGCCTGTTAATTTGGATGAATAAACTACATTAAATAGACTTCACATTAAATTTGGACCTGTCAGACGCTAGAGAATTTATTTGGCAGATCACTAATGTCATCCAAAGCACACTTTACCAGCACCATGTTTATCAATTTCCACCAATAACCTCCAGCAAGGTGAAGGTCCTTCCAAATGCGTGAGAATGATGTAGGTAGTTATTTATTTATCTAGGCCGTCACTTGCTGGCAGCCAAGACATGCATATCCTAACCACGGCCACCTACACAAAGCTAATGTCCATTAGGCCGCAATTATATAGAGGTAGTTTCATGCCACTGTTACATATGCAGTCTTGCCAAAGCCACATGTGATCTGAAACTTGAAGTATACAACATATATATATATATATATATAACCCCAGCTCCAAACCACTAGCAGTGTCAAAACCGACGTCGAACCCTAGCGACGAACCTCAAGGATGTCGAATCCTCACCGTCGAATTGATCCAGTGAGTGTTAGTGCCTATGTTGCTCACGATTTTATTTTTCCATATATTTTTATTATTATTGATTTTATTTTAATTATTTAAATAGAAAATTAACTTTGTTGGAAGTTATAATTGAGTTGGAAGAATTTTTTTTTTCATTTCTTCTGTTTTGTGGTTGCTGTCCAAATTTTATATTTTGCATATTCATTAGAGTATAATTTTCTGCATATTTGCTTGAAAATAATATATAATAAATACTTAAAGAAAAAATGACCAAACTATCCGTTATTTTAACACCATTAAATCTTAACTTAGTTATTGGGACCAAAATGGTCCCATAACATAATTGGGGACCATTTTGGTCCCTATATATAAATATGTGTGTATGCACGCGCACACATTTGCAAGGGCTCCCATGTCAGCTAATCCAATTGATGAGTGCTTTGAAAGTTGCTACCAAGATTATAAATTCAGTTTCCGCCTACTTCATAAAAATTCCCACCATGACTATAGCAAGATATATATATATATATATATATATATATATAGAGAGAGAGAGAGAGAGAGAGAGAGAGAGATTCTTATTTGCCTAATACTCTTTGAAAAGAGGGAAGCATTTTGTTAACTTAAGTGTAATACTCAAAAGGTTTGCCTAGATTTGCTAAAAGGTGAGATGAACCTATTCTTGGGTGATGGGAATGAAAAACAAAGGAATAGATCCATAGAGACCCATTACCAACAGAAACACCTTGCTTTAAGGCCTTGAACAATTAGCTTAGCACCTGTCTTAATTGCAGAGAGAGATAATTGTTTCAAATGTGAAAGATGAGTTAGCTTTTATTATAATAATTTGATATATGCAGAAACAGAATTAGAAGTTGAGGAATAAGGATACACAACATGAAATAAGATAAAATATAAGTTATACAATAATGAACATAGAGAAAGAAAATAAATTTCAACTATCCTAAGATATTGAGGCCCATAAATCTAGGGATTGAAAGAGAGCAGGGATGATAAGGAACTGAAATATATAATAGCATAGTTATCCTTAATATTTACATGCTACAAACCTATGTTGCACCGATACGGATACGGCGACACGGATACGACATGATACGGATAAGAGACACGTCAATTATTAAAAATATAGGATACGGGTACGGCACGGACACGGCATTATAATTTATAAATCATACATAAAAATTAAGAAAGCAATCAAAGCATAATATTTGAAATTACATTTAAAAAAAAACAACAACATCATTTGTAGCCTTGTGGCTTATAATATCAAAATATAAGAAAGCATTAAATGTCTAGTACAGCAACAAAAGCATAAACATAAATTATCTAGCACATGAAGTTTCAACTATTCAATAGAAGGAATGATATGATTAGCTTCTTCATGGGTTTGTCTTTGAACTTCTATATCATCTTCAATAAATATCATAGCTTCTAATTCAGGCTCATCAATTGAAAGATTAGTAATTTATAATATTCTCATATCATCAAGAGACTCAAATCCATATCGGAAATGAGAGAACCTTGCTCGCAGCCCCGGAAGTAAATACGATGCATCTTTTTTTTTTATTTCTTTTTATTTTTCAACGGACACGCGATCGGTGGCGTATCGGAGGCGTATCCGTGTATCAGTGTATCGGATACAGCACGCCTTCATAAATAGGTGTATCGGTGCAACATAGCTACAAACCTTAAGTGCTTGCACCGTTTAAGTTATTTAAATAAGCATTTTGGGGGAATTATTATAGATTAGTAAGATTTGCAACTTTGCATACACTTCAAACTGAAATTCATTATTTTCTAAAATTGTTTAATGTGCTGATTATTATTCATGCTCAGCAAGAATATTCTTCATGATTGAAAGGATTATAAATTGCATTAATTATTTATTGATCAATTAGTTCTAGAGAGACTAAAATGGCGCCTAGGCGTTGAACCACTATATCATCTTCAAGGTACCTAGAGCTTTTGGTAACACTATATTTTGTTAAACTCTTTAGTCGCTTAAAAATATAGAAAGAACAATTTCAAAACAGCAACTTAGGTATCATGTTGGGATGCAAAAAAATTAACAAAAATATATAATCTAACTTCCTGCATGATCACTATCATCATGCAAAATGTATTTGTCAAAATATGGGATAGCTACCTCAGCATGTGATACCCATTTCAAAATAGAGGATAAACTAGAAGAGTCTGTCACTAAGCGAAATCCTTTCTCTTTTTTCTTATCTCTTAATCCCAGCGGTTCATTGTCTACAAGAAGGAATTGCCGGTAGATGGGCTTGAAATGATGTTGCATGTTCTTTGGGATACATGAAGCAGGAAATACATCAACATGACCTGGATCAGTTATGATATTTTCATTGAACCTGATGAAAAGCAATTGATTTGCTAATAAGATTGTGCTGCACTGTTATTTCACATACTTCGGAAAATATTTTATGCATGAAATTAACTAGAATCAAATGATGGATCAAATCAATGACAAGAAACACTTCAGACTACATTAAGGAAAATAGAAATTACACTATTAGTTGGAGTAAATGATAATAAAACACCAAGATATATGGTCACGCATAGAATACAAATATAAAATGATTAGTTTAACCATAATGTTCATCATCAAATTGAATTAAAAGAACTAAAAAGAATAATTTTGGGAAGGGATGAATTAATTATAACAGTGTCTACCCGCGAAAGAATGAACATTTATTCGAGGGGAATCAATGGGCATATAGATTCTACAAGTTGGATAATAAGGAGATGGAAATACAATAGGAGAAGATATTCTTGATTTCACAGCAAAATATAATCTTGCAATGAGGAAAATACTTAAAAGAAACAAGAAGAAGAGTTACTAAGAAAAGTGGAGCCACCATATTAAAATAAAGTTCTACTTGGAAGGAAGGAAAAAACTTTTTGCAAAGCTTGAAGTCTTGCAAAGATTATACTTATTAAAGCAAAAGTTAAAATTTTTTATGATTTATACAATAGGGTTCATACTAAGGAATAGGATTAACATTAAGGAGAAAAGAAAATATATATAATAACAATGTGAACACAAATTTCTTATCATGATGAAAAGTTTCATAAAAACAAAAGAGAGATGATAGCATTCAAAAGAACAGAGTTTTCAAGCTGACAAACTTCCTGTTAAGGGAGCAAATGAGGGGATACATGAGAGGGAAGCGAAGAAGGGGAAGCCACCATACCATTACAGCATGTGGGAGACAGCAAATTTAAGTGGCTCCACTTTGTGATCTATTTTAATTGTGCAAAGGGGGGGAGAAAGATTCCACTATAGTAAATGAGATTAACTTCTATCTTTTCCTAGCAAGGAGGTGAATGAATACAAGAGAGAAAGAGAGAGAAGATTAAAAGTATAAGAGTTCAAAGTTCATGCTTCAACTAAGTTCCCTTTTTATGAAGGCATATAGAAGGGACTGTTATAAGCAAGGATGAGCTAAAAAATTTGTCTGTTAATGGCAACATATGAACAAGCAAAGAATTGTGGACACATGTCAATTTGGCTAATGAAAGGAGGACAAGTGTTGAGATTGTGGACTCCAAAAATTCATGCCCGACTCTGCTGAGGGAGTGCTGAGTAAGATTTTGCAAGGACTTTATGATCTGATCCTAAGCTTCTCATAGGATCTAAGCCCTTATAGTTGATTATTCATCTCGATAATAAGAGAGAACTTTCGATTGAGTATAACCATTAGATAAGCATTAAATACTTGGCGCATAGTAGCAACAAATTTTGACTTTAGATTAAAAAATTTACCAACTTAACTCAAAGATTATGGTGGGGGCAATGATGATGTATCCAATCAAGATACTATGATTCCATCGTCCCGTGTTATTATAGTCTCTAATCCACTTAATAGGAGTATGTAATTTACCCAACTTCACAAAAGTATTCTTCTCAATAGACATGGGTTCTTTTGTCCTAGAGAAACTTATTGACTTGGGATGAATGTTTCTCTACGGGGCCAAATTCAAGTAGACCATATCAAACAGAAAATTTTGTGTCCTAACAATTATTCCTTATGATTCACAAGGCAATGGTTTTTAAGCCATTGGAGAACTTATGGGTGATAGAAAAAGATAGATTGAGTTGGATGAGCAAGTTGGTTAGCCAAGGCTAGTGGCCAATAAGGCTTAGAGTCAGGTGGTTGAGCCATGTTGACTAGCATGTTATTGAAACGACAAAAGCGGGATTGATGGCAAGAGCCATGTTCACAAAGTTAGTAGATGAGCTAAAACTAGATGACATAAGATTGTGACTCGCCAATTCTAGTTGGGTTAGCAAGTTAGTGTCAAGAATGTTAAGGTCGTTCTTGGCCTTTTCATCATGGCAAATTGTTGGTCGAGATTGAGTGCGGAAAATGAGGTATTACACTAGGGTAAATGATAAAAGATCAAGGGACTTCGATTAATTTAGATGCATTATAAGTGAACATAGTAGAATATTTGCTGAAAATGAAGACATCAAGGAAAGATGGAAAAACTACTTAGAGATATTATTAAACATGAGTTTTATAAAAGAAATTATTTTAGAAAAATATAATGAAATATGCATTGTGACCAGTGTGCCAGACGATGTGACCAGGCGACTAGGCCAGGCGACGTGACCAGGCGACTAGGCCAGGCGACGTGACCGACTAGCCCAATCTGAAGCGGGAAAAGTTAAAAAAGAGCGGGTTAACGAGTCAATTTTGGGTCAATTTCGTGTTACCGGGGTTGATGGACACAACCCATTTTTTAAACGGGTCAAAAGTTGAGACCCGGGCCCGACCTGTTTGTTAAACGGGTCGACCCGAACCCGGATTTTTTGGGTCGGGTTCGGGTCGGGTTATCGGGTCGGGTCAATAATTGACACCCCTATGGAGATCCATATAAAGGATATTCAAAGTAAAGTTATTGGTGTATACTTTCTATAGATAATATAGTTCTTATTAGACAAACATAAACAAACGTAAGTGAAAAAATAAAATAACTAAGAAAATTTCTAATAAATAGAGAACTTGAAAGTAGTAGAACAAAGATTGAATATATGATGAGCAATTTTAGAGTATGTGATATTAATAATTATCAATCAATATTATAAGAACAAAAGGTGGTACTTTGGTATTATAGATTTGAGTACCATGCATCTATTATACAAAAGAAATAAGATATACATGAGATGTAACTTATAGAGTTAAATTTGGAATGTTAAAATGAAAAATATCTCAAGAATATTATACAATAAAAGGACATCATGAAGTAAACATAAAATTTATAAAATTGTAGTAAGGTCGGTGATGTTATATTGATCTGATTGTTAGCCATAAAAAAATTAAAAAAAAAAAATTGATATTAAAAGATAAATCATGAATGATTATATTAGATGTTTCAAGAATGATTACATTAGAAAAATAGTTAAGAGAGACATGTATAGAAAATAAGATAGTTGAAAAAGATTTAGGTACTTTTGTCATGTATAATAAAAGGTTCAAAATACACTTAGTAGAGAATTATATAACATTAGTGTCAGTCGATTACAAAGGAGAAGCTCTTAGGTTACAGCGATGGAAGTTCTTCAAAATGAATTGTGATGAACAGGTTTTACAACACTAACACTCAGCATGAATGAATGGAAAAAGAGTTTTCATAAAACTAATATTAATGATGATCCATCTAATTCATGTTGAGTTCACATCAGGAGTTAATCTAATCTTGCAACCAATATTATCATGAATTTGCCACTTTTTCTATCTAACCTTTACACATTATTTCTACATACCCATCTAATTAGTATATCCAAACACATAGGTTTATTTTTACTATTTTATCTCCAACATATATTGTTATAAGCATTTTAATAATTTAATCATTTTCACTCTACCCTGCATAATTTTACAACACATTGATCTTTTTTTTTTTTTTGAGAGAAAAAAAATATTAATGTGTTGTAAAATTAACTTGTTTATTGCTTAACACTCGAATTGATGCAATAAATTAATTAAAATTATCGTTAAGTCTCCATGACATACTCTTACTATAATGTACTTATAATGAAATGCTCCATTTTACCCAACTAGCTCTAATATATACTATTTTAATTGGAAGCTCTTTTATCAGTACACAACTAAAGAGAGTCACAAATTGTTGCATCATAAATATTTTTAATAACTTCAATATACCTTGACACATCCACTTTCTTCATAAACTGATTAAAAACACAATCCTATAAATTATTGCATCATACTTATCTTTAATAACTTCAATATACCATTGATGCATCCACTTTCTTTATAAATTAATAAAAAAGACAATGTTGCATACAAACAAATCAATAACAATGGCTCCAAAGAAAATGAGGATACTTCTTCATAATAAATTAAATTATCATTGCACTCTTTCCCCCTTACACCCCTCTCCCTCTCCCTCTCACACGGCCATACAAAAACAAATAAAACCCCCCTTACGCCTACTTAACTCGCTCACACATGGATGTCTCGTTCAAAAAATCCAAAGCATTCTCCCTGCAAACTCCTCATCACACTGGACATCATTTTGAACCCTAAATGTTACAATCCCACAAGGAAATTGTAAGAACAGGACCAGGCCGATAAAACTGAATCGGTCAATTATTAATAGAGGGGCGCGGGTTTTAGCGAACAGAACAGAGCAGTTTGCAAAGACAGGAAGGGGCGAACGGCCGAACTCACACCAAAAGGATTAGGGAAGATTTATTTTGCCATTTTTAACAGTCAATCGCATTGGAGGGTAAGATTAAACAACTCATTTTCATTTCTATTGTTATAGAAGAGGGGATTTGGGAGAAACGACGGTGGAAGAGAGACGATTTGGGAGAAAGGAAGGAGGAAGGTTTGTTTATTTTTTTAATATAAATTGTTTCCTATTCTTCATATGATTAGTAGAAATATTTAATTGAAGATAAGAGAGAATCGAAAGGAAGGAGAAGAGAATTGAGAAGGAAAGAGAAAGGATTTTGGGATTTTTTGAAAATCCCCATTGTAAGTACATTTCTATCATGAAATTGTTATTAAATTTTATTACTTAAATCAAGTTTTCATGAAAATTTTGTTGTACAATTTTAGAGATTTTGGAAAGAGAGATCGAAGTTGTAAGAGTTGATCAACAAATGATTCAACAAGAGAACGGAAATTGAGATTCGAGGTAATTATTAATAAAATGAATATTTATGAAAATTTATGAAAAGATTAAATGATAAAATTTTTATGATTGTGAATTTCTTTAGGTTGTACCAAGCGTCGAAGACTTAAAAGATTCAAAGTGGGTATTTTCAATAACTTTCTTTACTGTATTTCTTTTCTATTTAAAAGGAGCATGTTATATA